TTGTTCAGAAGGTCACCATTTTGAAGAATCTCTTTCACTTTGTTGTTTACCTATGTATTTAGCATTTGTTTTTATGACAGTTATTGTTCTTAAGGTTGATTTTTTGTGGCTGAGGTTGTAGATTTTTGTTAGAACATTGTAGTAGAATCTTTCTCTTCCCTTCCTGTGCCATGATGTGGTTTTGTTAGAATTGCTAGGGCTAATAAGTGTTCATTGTGCCAAAAATTGCAGTATAAGTAGTTATAGCAACAGCAATACATTTGAAGAAGTTTTAAAAAAATATATTTGATTCACACCATCACCTGGTTGTTTTTAAGATGCGTATATGTACATGTTTTTACTGTATAGCTCACACTTAAAGGCACACAAATGTACTAGGAAGTAAAAAAGAAGAGTTTTTACTAAAGTTGCTTTAACTTTTCCTGATTAGATTTTTTGAGTAATAAAGTTGTAGCAATGCACTTGTTATAACTGTAAACTAAACAACTGTATGTGAAAAGGTGTCACAAGTAAGTATGGGCTTTCCTTAATAGAAGTGGTACATTTGTGTTTGTACAATTGTTTTATTGGATCTAATTCATAAACTCTATTACAATGATATTAACATAAGTTTACTACAACTGTTTGATATTAAAAGGTTCATAACTGCTAATTACGTTATCTGTTGATGAAATTTTTTTTATAGTAAAACTTTTTAAATAATGCACTAAATCTTACCCAAAATTTCAAACTAAAGTGGTTATACTTAAGTATGCTGTGAGAGTTATATAAAATTATTTTCCTGAACATAGTTTTATTTGGAATTTAGAAGAAAGTTGATGTTTTAAATGATCTTTGTAATACTCAAGAATTGTTATGTAGCATCATTTTTGTTACTCTGTTTAGACAACTTGGATGTTGTTTTTGTAGTTGTAATGTGGTAGGTGTCTCAAAATATACATGAAATGTGTATACAAATTTATACTACAGTTAACAGTTATTTCTGTATAATAGTTCTCAATTATTAAAATATAGAAATTCAAATTTCTTTTGCATAATGATCCGATTAAGTTTTCCCTAGAGTAAAGTTGAGACTGAAAAATTATATTTTTGCTTAGTTTTTCTCTCTGTTGTGGGAAAAATTTATGAGTGTGAACTTTTTACACATTGCTACTAAAATTGGGAAGAGTAAGGTTTAGTTTTGTTTGCCCAAATGTAACTAATGCAGCAACTTGTATGGACTTTCATAGCCATTCATTAGTACTGGTTCAACATCAAAATTTAGCTGTTATTTAAAAAATAATTTGTTGATATAAAAGGTTGTTACCTAATGGAGAAATCTCAGTAGTGTTAATAGAAAAGGTGCTATGTTAGTACAGTTGCAAGTTTTACAAAATGTTGAGACTTAAGCGCCTTCAAATGTTTTGACTTAACTGTTTTTCAAGAATGTATTTTTACTTGTTTTTCATGTAACATTCTTTTTTTTCTGTAAAGATCAAAATACCTCTAGTTTTGTAGCTGTTCAAGTTTATAAGTTGTGGGTATTTGTAATCAAATAAGCCACTGCTTTCATGTACTTAAACATTTATTTGCTGCAATAAATTGTGTTTGTACACTTGTGTTGGGAGTGGTGTCCCTGATTTGTCAACATTAGTAAATATAGATTATAAATGTGGATGCATCTTCAATCTTTGATAAAAGTTTTGCAGAATAGTAGTCATGCTATTTTAATATTGTTGGTCTAAAAATACTCTTCAGTCTTCAATAAGAGATACAACTTGTTCACCAAAATGAATTGGAATATAAAAGGAAAAATAAGTGATATTTCTGAAAAGTAACAAAATAATAAACTTGTGCAGAACTTTATGAAACAAGATATAAAGGGAAAATAATAAAAACTAGCTTTAGGAAATTTTTATCTTAATACTATAAAACACTTGGGACTTTTGATGTGATGCATTTCAACACCTTAGTCCCTGTATGGTACTGAAGAGTCAAGCACTGAACTGACTGAAGAACTAGATAAAAATCAATTGTTAGCATGCTGGGTAAGACCAATATTGAGCTGTTCTTGAAACTTTTGTAAGGGTAGATGGTCATATTCAGAACTAATTTGTAACCCACATGGACAAGAAATCACAGAAGCAGACTCAATAAGAGGATTCCTTTGACATACTGGACAAATAACCTCATCTCTTTGTAACCATTCAAGATGACAATGTTCAACCTTTTTTTTTTCTTCCAATTTTTGAAGCTGTTGTTCTTCCATCATCAGTATTCTGGTTTCAAGATTATAATTACTAACTGTATCTCAAAATGTTACTAAAAAAAGCAAATTTGTGCATTTTCAACCCCTAAGGTAAGCATAATTTCTCTTGAAATATTATTAGCCAGAGTATTTACTCTGTGTGTACTGAAGTACCTTTATAATCTTTTTCTAAAGAGAAAAACTAAAGCTCCGAAGAAGAAATTACTATGCTTTTTTGTTGTTGTTGCAACTGTAAAAAATCAACTTCAAATCATCAAAGGATGAACAAACTACTTCATTGATATACACGTGAATCTATGTATGAAATAGCTTAAATACACTTTCAAAGATGATAATATAAGTAATCAAATAAACTGAAAAAAATTAAAATTAGTTTTTTATAATGTTTTCACAAACACAAGTTTTTTATAAATTTGTTTTCCTGGTTTTGTAGCATAACGGCTGCTCTTCTGTGTTGCATAAAAATACAAAATAAAGCTGTCCGTTAAAACTAAATTGAGCAGCAATTTAAAATTAGAAAATTGCATTAAAGTCAGCTTCCAAAAACATTTTTAAAAAAGATCTCAAGGTCTACAATGTTTATTCATTAAAATTTTATTTTTTTGTAACAAACACACACGTAGAAATGATTGAAATGTACAAAACAAAAATTTCTACATATTGATCTTTGATGTAGTTGGAGACTAAAGCTAAGACAATTTATTTTTACCTATTATTTAATTTGGCATTCAATTGAAAAAATAGGTTCATGTAATTTTTATTTCACAAGGTAAGACAGAAGAAATGTGTAAAATATTGTATATAAATTAGTTGGTTTTATATGTGCAAGTTTAAGAAATAAGAATTTTTTCAGCATAAGTTATTTTATGGAAAACAAATGAAAGCAAAGTTGTTTTTCTTAAGTCCTGGAATCCATTTTTGTCAATGCACCCAGTTGATTCTTTCATAAGGAAAGATACATTATTTTTAGGATGGATTTAATCAACCTATAAATATTTTGGGTTGTCTGTAAAAAAAATAATTAAATTTTAAATTTATTTTTTAGTAAAATTCTCAAGTTATAATGCTCTTATAATAAGTATTAAAAGAATTGGTTACAGAGTTGTCTTTTTTTGCTTAAGAAAGGTTGATTGAAATTAGCTATATGGGAACTTGTATTTATAATAATTAAGGTATAACATTCAAAAAATTTTTGTTGTAATTAGAGTAGTTTTTTTTTTTTTCCTTCTGAGTTTGATGCAATAAATAAAGCTTTTATTCTAAATGCATAGAAATAGTTAACTGAGCATGTCATGTTTAGAATGATTATTTGTAAAAATAAGTGTTTCTGTCTTTCCCTTTAATAAAAACAATCAGAAAAGATGAAGTATTATTAGTATTCACTTTTTAGATAAAGTGGATGGTTGTTAAGATTAGACCACAGTAAATGTTCCAGATAATAAAATTCATTTATAAACCTTTTCTAAGTAATTTTAATACAATTGTGTAATTTTCTCCAAATATTAGGGTAAAAGTTTGTAAAAACAAGTTTCAGATCTAGGTGTAATTTTAAAAGTTATTCCATATTGATTGTAAATCTTTAAGAATAATTTTATGGAACACTGAAGGAGTTTTTGTATGATGATTTAAGTAATTTGCAGGTTCTTTCATATTTAATACTAGAATAGAAATAAATATCATCAAAGAAAGAAAGCAAAATTTGTGAAGTTTATGAATGTAACCTGTCATCCTTAATATTACTGATAACTTTAGGTATAAGAATTCTTGAAAGGTTCCATAACTTTTTAAAAGTACCAACAATAGGTCTTCCAACTATTTTGGGAGGATGTTTAAGCTGTGAATAATAATTATTTTCATTTAAAAGGTATGTTAATTTATAGATTTGTGGAACATGGGCAACAATGTTTTCATCATTCATTAATATAATTAATATGGACTTGTTTAGTGTTTTCAAAATAACTAGAATTTTCAAATTTTATCATGAAATTTCATATTAAGATATGCTTCATTTATTAACACAAACAGTTATAAAGTTCTGAATAATGAAAAAAATATCTTCAATAGCTTTATTTTAAACAAATTTTTAAATCTAATTGAAAGTTTCCTCCATTAGGAGGCTGAAATCTAAATTTCAGCTTAAGATTCCTTAAATATATAATTACAAGAAAAGGAGTGAAAGATCATTTTTTTGCAGTAGTTTTTATTTCATAAACTAAAAGATTGTTAATTTGATTTATTTTAAGAGAAACTACTTGTATTCATTCATTTCATAATTGTACTTTAAGCCTTCAACTTCTAACTCTATTGTTCATATGGCTTTCATTATAACATTTTATCTCCATGATATTGTTGCGATCCAACTTAAGTTTCTCATATTTTCAGCATTTCTTTAAGAGAAGATTATCTAAATTTTACTGCCTTATGTTTGGTTGAGTGAGAAGTCTAACTGAAGACAAGTTTCTTCTTTAATCTGGATTTCTACAGTGTTCTTGTCTGTTTGCAAAACCATCTTTATTTTATCATATTTCACACAAGTTTTTCATTGCTACAGTTCTTCCGAAGGTCATATAATAATGTCGTTTTTGAAGCTGATTTTGCATGTCATTTCTAATCAAAAATTGAAATCTGTAGCTTTACATTTTAAGTTGAAGATTAGCTGTCAATGCTTCAAAAACCAGTCAAATGAATTTACAAAATATGTATGTATGATGTATAAACTAATCTTAATTCCTTCTACTCAAAGACTAAGTACCTGAGGATGATGTTGCAATGTCGAAACATGTAGTTGTCAACTTTTTGAAGCCCATAGATAGATAGGCCTAAATGAATTGTTTTTAATTGTGTACCAGTTTTAACGTTGAATATTATTTATTTTAACTCTATACACAAGTGCCAAAATACAATAATTACTTTGTTTACATGTTGTGGAACAGTGACTAATGTGAAAGTTTAGAAGAAAGTAACCCTAAATTACATGTAAATGTTTCATAAAAACAATTGACAATAGTTCATTTAAATAACTTGCTTCCATGCAGAAGATGTACAAAAAGCTTTATTGATAGAATTAGTACTGTACCTTATTATTTAGCATGTCTACATCTTCAGCTTCAGGAACTGATGGAACAAAAAATTTTTTGTATAAAAGTTAGCATCTAAAGTTAAGATTTGTAAAGAAAAATTGTAAAGCTTTATAATTTTATTTAAATGTTTGTTGATATAAAACTATATAAGCACCATAAATGCAGCTTCATTCAGAATGTCATTCCAACCTGTATTATTACTACTACACCAGAGGATAGCTGGCTTGACTGGCAATTCCACATTGATTGTTCTTGTTCCTTCTCATTTTTACATAACCTTGATCACCCCAGGTTGTGTTTCAACTGTAATAACAGCATTTGGAATTAACTAAAGTGAACTGTTTAGATATATAACAGGCTACTTATACTCAAACTTTATATATCCCATTTAGTCTCACTTTTCACTACCTTGATATGTTAATGATCCTTTAAGCTAATCTCCGTATCTGCTACTAATTTACTCCACAGGAGCATAAAGAACAATTATTGATATTATTGACAAAAAAGTAGAAGTAATTTCAAATCAGCTGTAAAAATTAAAGAGAAAATTAAAATGATTTACTACCCAAGGGCTATCTGCACATATCCATCTCTAATTTTAAATTGATAGACTAGAAAAACAACCACAAAATCTTGTGCTACTCTTATTGGATAAAAAAGTGGGATTATACCATCACTTTCTTAGTACTTACTGCTAAATTGAACAATCATGTTACATAAACAAAGGTCTGGTAAGTGAAACTTAATCACATTCAAATACACCCAGTGAACACCAGTTGAAACTTAATATTGTACTAATCTTTTTTGAAAAAAAAATTATAAATATTGGTACATTTTATCATTTTCACCTTATGGCTAACTGACCTGTTTTTAACAAGCCAGTACTCAAGGCCCTGTTCATTTTCACCATATCCAACTACCAGAACTCCATGATCTAGTTCCACACTACTACATTCTGGTTCATCATACACTCCTGATTAACAGCATAAAGAAACAGAATAAATAAGACTTCCTAAAAATTATATTCCAGTGTTATAAAATCAAGAGATGCTTAAATTATATATATATTATTTTTTCCATTTAAAATATTGTATGAAAATCTGGTATTCGTATGGATATGGAATCTGTTACAAATTGCAAATACTTTAACTTGCACCGTACACCAAGCTGATAAATTTGAACCAAAAGATTTATTTTTTGTACTAAAAACACTTCAAATCTGTTAGACAATATACATTGAAAAATAAATCAAAGAAATGTTTTTGGAAAAACAAAATATTATTGTGGTTTTAATAAAACTGACTACTTCCACTTTACATCTGATTCTTTCAGGTTTTTTTTTAGTTTTCTTTTATTTATTTATTTATTAGTGAAATGTCTGATTCCTATCAATACGGAACAATTAAGTAGTTTACTAACTACTGGTTTTTAATCATCTTATATATATAAAAACAATACCTACAAGGTATTCAATGGTTTGTAAATTTTAATTATACAATGTAAAAGTTAGACTGGGTGCTAGCATCCTGAATACTTTATAACCAGTTCTTTTAAATGGACAGTTTAGCAGATGATGATAATTTCTGGCACCAATTCTATCAAGTATATGAAAATATTTTAATATGGCAGTGTTATAAATAAATAAAATTATATATGAATTTTGAACTTTATTAGTGTGAAAAAGTAAATAGGAAAATTTTCAATCGGCCCTTCTATTGTCAATTCTGCTTAATTTTATATATATACACACAAAACACAAACTACATTGTTACAAGATGTAAAAGAAACTTGGGTAAGCAATATATTTAAATGATAACATTTCTCCTGGATGAGCCTCCTAAACAAGAGCAAAAGTAACAATGAATATAGAAAACTGCTATGAATATTAGTTTTAGGACTAGTCCCCAGTTTTATTAGCTAATAATCCTATAAGAATTTGCTGACCATATAGTTAACATGATATAAACCTAACTTTCCAATCAATACAAAACATGTTTTAGCTAAATCAGCATTTCTTACAAAATACTATCATGAAATCAACTTGTGTAAGTGTGAATCTAAGCAGTTTTCACATCCAACAATTGGTGATTTGTTAAACCATGGTCTTTCATTAAGTAATTTAAAGTAAAAGTAACATTAGCACTTATTTATATTATGCAGTATACCTTGTGAAAACCATACTAGTTTTACTGTTTGATGTAAAATAGTTCATTTACTTTCTGTGAAAAACAGACACTGACCAAATTCCAAGTGTTATTTGTGGACCAGTTCTCCAATCTAACATCAGGCATCTTCATGTGTTAGGATGTTAAATGATTTTCTAGACTCATATTTCCTACTTTCTGGTTTAAAACCAACATTGTGACTCTGTGCCAAGTCTCTCAGGTCTGTATCAGTCATAGAATTAAAGCTGAAAGAACTCAAGTGTCATATCAGCCAATGTAATTAATAGCACTGCAATTCGTGTTACTTCACGAGCTTTTTTTTCCCCCTGGTTAGAAGCGATATTTGTGGCCCTGCTCCTACCTACTTACATTTTTTTTTCCTTCTCGAGTAGTATAAAGAAGATTATCAACCAGAAATCAAAAATTTCTTATAACTTTTTATTTTCACATTTTGTTTACCATGCAAATAATTATACCTGAAATTGGATGTCATATTAATTTAATTTGCCTTACAAGTACTAACAAGTAAGGTCAACCATTTTAATTGTATTCGGTATTCTTCTAAAACAATAGGGCTAATTACAAAAGACAAACCTGAGGAATAAAACTGGAATGATTCATGGCTAGCATCAATTGCAACAGAAACAGGTCCCACAGTGGCTACAGCTTCCTGAAGCTTTTTCTCATCTCCATGTGGCAAATCCACAAAACCAGTATCTGTAGCTCCCACAGTCTTCTTATGAAACCTGCATCTATCATCCTAATAAGAGTTTCAGCATTTCTCTACAAGCACTTGCACCAAATAATTAACTCATTGATTAATAGACTATGTTGAAACGTTTACATTTATAAAGGAAGAGAGAGAAAAGAACCACAGGGTAGTCTGTAATTGTATAAATACTACAGAACTAATGGTTTCAAATTAGGTAAACTTAAGTGAGTAATATAAATCTCATCCAAAAAAAAAAAAAATAATAATATTACCAGAATGCATGGGACAAAAACTTCAATAAAGACTAATGAGAAATTAGACATTTTACATAAAGGTCTCAAAATACTTTAGTATAAGCAGAGAAAGATACAAGTGACCACACCACATTCCTTTGAAAAATTCTGTATATTTAAGAATGTGTATACATTTTTAAACAGACTACCAAGAAAAGAAAACCATGCCAATATATCAATTGTATACAGTTCAAACTGAGGATACTGTAAAATGAACAGTACTACATAACCTAGATATTATTGTAGAAAAAAGATATGATGTTGAAATTTTTAAATCAAAACAAATTAAAGATATAAAAAAATAATAAGAGAGCAAGTTTTGGATTTAAAATATATATTACTATAATTACAATAACATTACAGTTATAGTAATTTAGAAATTCATTTGTAGTGCCTTTTTTTCAAACAGTATTTTGACAATGTATCATTTGCATGCATGCCTGTAAAAAATTTTATAATAAGGTTAGTTACACCATCATATTTGTAAATCTAGATGTCTAAGAACATGTACTGCTCAAGTCCATACATGAATTGTAATAATCCTGAGGGATGAATTAACTCTCCTTAAACACCTCAAAAAATTATTTTTGGAAACTAACCTGAGCTTCATAGGGATAGGACTTCTCAGTGTCAATACCATGATTGTCCTTGATATACTGAAATGCTTGATCCATCAGTCCACCATTGCAGCCCTCATTACCATACTTAGTTGAACAGTCAATCAGGTTTTGCTCGCTCAGAGACACCAATTGACCAGTCTTATGGTAGTGCTGCCCTTCTAATGCTCCAGTCTAAATAGACAATAAAAACAATTAAAAGTGTTTGCTAAGTTTAAAAAATATAAATGTAAGAACAGATAATAAAGTTTGCTTTAGACCAAGACTGAACTTACCAGAAGTTATGTGGATGCTACAAAAGCCTGGGAACTCTTATCAGGAATTGAAAGCTTTTGTAACCTGATTATACTTTAACAAATTCTGCCACATCTTTGTTCCAGCATACCTAAAAGTGGGTTGAGATTATTGCCAATTCTTGAGGCTTAAAACAATGAAATGATACTTACATGTAGTAATCACACACTAGCACATTTATTTACTTTCATGTAGTCAAATTTTGAGTGTATTGTTACTAGCTGTATTTTTTTTCTTCTTTCAGTTTAATCCACAATTAGAAGCAGTTTCACATAAATATGATAATATATCTGTTTATTACATTGTGAAATAAATGATGCCTTATTCATTATGTGCATGTACATTTTGACCTAGTTTTTATTGGAATGATTTTTACTAATCCAATAACCTCAGTTTTGACCAGCCCAGTTTTTTTTATGCAATATAAGAAACATACAATCTCTAAAGTGTTGCTGGCTGCAAAGCGTGGGCTTTGGAAGGCTTAGCCTCCCCAAGTAAACAGTCCCTCACAGGGCATTACTCAAAAACATCATACAGTATATGTGGAAAGAGGGTGTTGTGTTTCAGTAAGGAGAGTTAACTTACTTAGGAGTTTGAACAGATTCTTCAAAACTTTGTAACTCCCAAACATCAACATTATAGCCTACCCAAACAAAAGACAATGTGATACTTATACTGTAAAATCACTAAAATGATGCTCAAGGGGAAACATTGAAATAAGAGAACATAAAAAAACATATGTAATGATCAATGAGAAAATACTTTATAATCTACAAACTTGTATTATACAGGAACCCTAAAAATTTAGTATCTAATGTTTGATCTTCTTACTAATCCTCACAATCATACAGTACACGTGTAATTGAACTTTAATGGGTAACAGAAATATACTCCAAATTTAAGAAAATAGCAATTTGTTTTTCACAGTAACATATGATTTTTTAAATTAAATCATAAAACATTATGTTTAAAGTTAAGGATAACTTACAGCACTGAATGACCAACAAGACCCACACTGTCCTTGACAGGAGTCACATAATCATGCTTTCTCCAATCAACCTCTTTGGGTAATACCACATTAGCAGGACTAAGATAGGTGGTTGTATTTCTATACAGGACAGCTTGGAGGTCACAATAGTTCCGTTTCAAGCCATTCATAATTTTAACAAACTCACTATGAAGCTGTAAGGTGGATATAAAACAAATTAATATTACTATTTGGCTCATGCTTACAAAATTAAAGATAAAATTACACAGTCATAAAAACAATGGTTTTAACATTCAAAAAACAAAAAATCGTGGTTCTTAATTAAGATTCCAGTTTCTTCAACCCCAGCCATTAATATATTTAATGATATGATTCAAAAAAATTACAAGACTTAAACTTTTTGTGAGGTCTCTTAGCATTTGAAATACAGAACATAAAGTTTTTATTTCACGGTCATAAATTGTCCTGTACATTGAAGAAAGGCCTAACTGAAGTGATTAAAATCACAAGATGTCTTTATACCCAGATTCCTATTAGCTTTTATTCTGTCCTCCTTAAAGTCATTAATAACACTAAGTACTTTTTAATATTCTACTAAGTTTCATTGTAGAGACAGTAAATGCAAGTGAGTTTAAGAAAAAGCTTGATAAGGGATGGCTTTAAGATTTTTTTCTTTCATTAATTTAATTTAAAGGATGGAACAGTCGAGATGGACCAAGAGGTTTTGGGAGTCAGTAGGTAACACTGACAACATTTGATGTTACACAAAACAAAAAGTCTATATAATTTATTTCCTTATCGTTCTTGCATAATTAAAGATAGCATTCAACAACAATACACACTCACTTTACATCATTATCAATATTTGCAGTAGGGTCTTACTGGTAAAATAAATCAACTTTATTGCTCTTGCTTTCAGCATGAAAATAAAGATTTTTTTTTCATTTTCACACACTTTTGTCTTAATTTACTAGTGTAAATATATTATAATTTGAGAACGCTGTTGGTAGTAGTGGTATCATGAAAATTATAAAACAAACAACGATTCTTAATTTCCACAAAATATAAGTTTCAAATGAAAAATAATTTTATTATTGAGTGTTTCACAAATTTTGATTAGTTAATATACTGATCTTACTTTCTTTCATACTAAAGAGAACTTTAACATAAAGTGTCTTGGAAGTTCAATATTATGACAGTTCTTTCAGTAAACAGGGTAAATAAAGTTTTAAAATATTATAAACAACAAATACACTGTTGTAGTTCTTCAATGCAAAAAATTGGAAAATATTGAAAACACTTTAATTAAAAAGATACACACACACATATTTTTACTCTCCAAGTCAGTAGCCTCCAACCACTTGACTGCAGAGCTTTAGAAAGTACAATGCAAGTTCTTTTCCCTCTTTATTAGTTTTTTTTTACCCAAGCTATACATACATGTCTCCATTTCTCACCCAACCAGAGGCATGCTGGCCAAATTTTGGATGTACTCACTATACTGAGCATGTATTGATTGCTATATATTAGATTTATAACTATATTTCTGTACTAAACATCCATTAACTTTGTACAGTAGATAGTGCAAGAGCAATCCTGCTATTAACTCTTTATTGCATGCATTGTGTAAATATGTTGTAAAAAATATTTTATTTCAATTTCTTACTTAAATAGATCTATATTGCACAAAAAATTTCTTGTAAAATATACTTGGCATGTTATAAATAGCTATTTATAGAAAATAAACATTGTTCAATTGGGGAAATAGCAAAAATTGTTCATTGGGTTATTTAAACTGTTACCTTGTAGTAAGAGCATTCAACTACAGAACTGTATGTGTATTAAGCAACAAAGTTAACTTGTTACATGTACATTAAAATGTGCAACAGAGGGTTAAAAAGATGAAGACAACTGTTTTACATTATCAACTGAATTTCTATTTATTACCAGTATAAATTTCTAATAGTTTGTGTTTCTAAGCTAAGGTCATTGTTCCTGTATTATCTTACTCACCAAATCTCCATATTTGTTCATGTTCACACTATATGTAAACAACCCTTTTGCAAACTTCTGGTTGTGATAAGCAATTTTTCGTTTGTTTTCCATATAAATCTTCAAGCGAAACTGTTCTTCAGTTTCATCATTGTACTGCTTACCTAATGTTTGATAGAAATGCTGTAACATTAATTATATTAGTTTATGAATTCATATAAATTTACCCTTCAATGTGAAAGAGATTCAGCAGTTCAAACCTACACAGAGCTTCAATTCAATTTTAGAATTGAATCTATATCTTCACAAGATCATTCTCAATGCTGAACCAGTTTTGAAAGAAAAAAAAATTAAATGTATACTTCCTTTTTTGGATTGAATCACAAACTTTTAGTGGTTGAATACAATGCAACTTGTGTAAAACTAAGGCTATGAAAAGATTTGCTTAGTTAAAAACTAACCTTCACAAAATCACCTATAGCTTTAATCAAGTTATTTCTTTATCCACCAGTAATATTTTTCCTCATTACACGGAGCATTCTTGATGATAGTTCTACTTTAATAACCAGGATATTTTACATAACATTAGTTCAAGGAAAGTTCCCCACATGATTACTATTCAGTGATATCTGTGTTTACATTTTATAGATGTTGTTAATCGAGAGTTTACTTTACTTAAAATAATAGTACTCTAACTTTATGTTTTTTCCTAGAGAAAAGTTGACTATATAGGAAAACTTGAATTAGATGTTTAAAACTGTTGATGGATTCAAAAATCTGTCCACAGAAAGTCCAAATGGTGGAACGAAAAAGTTGGAGAATGAAAACTTTAATATTATTGGTAATAAGTTTAAGATTTGGAATCCTACATTAAGTACACATTTGTTATTCAAACTTTTTTTTCCACTCTACACAGAATTAGTTATGGAACAATCTGCTTGACAAAGGATACTAGCTCAAGTTCAACACCATGAACTGAAGTAGTAGAGAGGACTTGATCTTTCAAAACTAGGTTAACATCAAGGTGCCATCAATGAAAAACATTGTTTCTTTATCACATACATCAAACATGTGAATATTAACTCCAAATCTTTTCATAACTTTTGTTTTCATTTGAATATTTTTTTTAACTTAAATTAGAAATTGTTTCCGTTACTGGCAAGTTCTTTTATAAATTTTGTTACAATAAAATGCCTCATTCCATATGCATAAGTATTGTTACTTATTTTAAAGTAAAAACTTGAAATATTTTCTTCAATGATTATGTTACTTTTAACATATTTTTTTACTAAAATATTGTGACATGAACTTTGTCATACTAATGTATTATTGACATATCCTCTACAGCTATGGCCTTAATTCCTTTTGGTTCATTTTCAACAATACTGTCATAAGCTATATTTTTAATGCTGTAATTTAAATTTTAGCTAAAGAAGCTTGGGTCTTAATGATGATGTTAAGATCAGAAAGTTTAACTAAATAGGCCTAGAACATCTACAAGACTGAGTATGTGAAGTAAAATGTTCTACCACATTTGAAACTAGGTTATAAATACAAGATGTGAAGTTTATAGAGTGATTTCGAGATAGAGTAAAATAATCAGTATTAGTTATCACAGTTACTTTGTACAAATCAATTGAATTATTCAATATTAGTTAATGTCATTTGTAATGAAGGCCTATAGTAACTTATGGAAGTTTACAAGTGTTCAAGTTTGTAGAAATGTTAAAGGAGGAAATAAAGTAATTTATTATCATAATGTGGACTGGTTGTTATTTTCACTAAATAATCCAAAAGAACTATGCTAATATATATATTGTTCTTCATAACACAATTTGTCTTGTGTCAATCCTAAAATTAGAGATTCTACTATTTGTACAGGCAAAGGTAAGTTTTTCCTTTGCATCAAAGTTGATGCAAGAAAACTATTTAAAAAAATATTATCCAGCAAACACAACAAAAGAAGTTATATGAATACAAACATGCATGTAAGTCAACAACACAAGTTTTTTTAGTTTTAGTTTTGAACAAAGAAATTTATACATCTAGAGTAAAAATATGATAAATGTATAAATGTGAATGTTATAGCCAATGGAAGGCAAATAGGAGTGCCAAAAGTTATAATTTTCCTAAATGAAAATGTATTTCTCTCCTCTCACAAGATTAGATTTTTCTCCTTTTGTGCTGCCCACTATATGCAAATTTTTTCAAAAACGCATGCCACAAGCCTTCATCCTCCCTCTGTTCCTTTGTTGGATTCTAAAGTTCTAACACGTCTCTCATGCAGATCATCATGCATCACCTCTCCACCAATAAGAGAGCACTATTATCATGCAACTCCCTTTACACACCACTACCAATCTATCACTTCAAAGTTTGGCGGAAGACGCGAACACCGGAAAATTGTGTGGAGGATGGGTGGGAAGTGTGAGGAGGGAAGTACCTATCAGAAATACATTTTCATTTAGGAAAATGTTAACTTTCGATAAGGTACTCTCCCTCTGCTCACAAGAGTAGCTTGAATCCCACATTGAAATGGAGGAGGGACTGGTGCAAGAGAAGCACAGGCTTATCCACCTGAAGCATCCAGAAGACACCCCTGAAATGAGAGTTACAGATCAGATGCTCTGAGGAGGGTTTACCACACCACATCTGAGCCAGGTATCTCTTCACCAGAAACATCAACATGATTAGGAGGACTAGACTTGGCAGAACATTAAAGGGAGCACATCCATGTGGGAGAGGATAGTTTAGCAATGTGATATTAAACAGAAATCAGAATATCAGAATCACTCAATCCCATGATGGAAAGTGGGCAAGTGAAGATGTGTCCAATGGTGTAGAATGTCTAGGGTGCGACTGAACGTACTCAGCAAGTCAACTACATCCAAAACCTCACTTGCTGGGTACTGACATCCTCGCGAGGGTAGGATGAAGATCATACCATCTTCACTTAGAGTCAAGTGGGAACCTAACATTCGACTCCAGGAACTCACAGAGGTAGTCTAATGCCAGGGATCTGGGAATGTGTCACTCACAATCTGAAGGAAGTCCATTGCATGCACTCAACCCCCGTGACCATGAAACCAGCCCAAAAAAACCCAGGTTGGTAACAAATTTGTCACCCAATGAGGAAAAACCCAGGACAGAAGCAGAAACAGGCCACGTAAACCTTTTGCAACCCACAACACAGAAGAGAAGTCAAGAGCAGAAGATGGACAACCCAAATCGTGTGTGAGGACTTAAGTGTTTGGTTCACTCAATGTCCAAAACCTCGCTTACTGGGTACTGAAATCTGCATGGGTGTAGGAGAAGAGCACCCAATTGGGATGAACTGTATTTGGGCATCTCAATTCCAGGTAACAGTCACTCATCCAGAGGATCTTGTAACTCCCTCTACACCAGCAGAACACCACTGTCCTACTCTGAACTGAATGGTTATTGCCATCTTTGCAGAACCCATCAAGCAGGTTGCTTCCATGGTCAACCACCCCAGCAGCTTGGAATTGGTAAGTGGTAAGATTCTTGTACTCCAGTGAAAGAAAGGGGAGAAAATGCAGTGAAGAGTCCAGAGGGACTGCAACACCCAAGACAGTACAATGGATGATCACAAAATTCTATTTCAAAAAGCAGACCACACCGATTTGTTCAATCTAGGCATGGCAGGGATGGGCAGCAATCCCCTTCTGCTTTACCCATGCTGACCATAGGTGGTATGGTCTGGGATGGGCATATTATGATGCAATTTTCACGAAGAATTTACACTAGTGATCTTGTGAAAGACCCAATCTCAAGGGTGAGAATAGATAGTCATGGAAAATGTATAAAAATCAACATGGCTTACAGTGCAGATTTGATAAAGATGTCTGCGAATGGTTATACCCATCTAAATGAAACCCATTTCCAGAACAGAAAAAATACCTGGTCAGGCAACACTTGCCACAGAGCAGGATCCAAAGTTAAGCTGAAGCAGGAGCCCCTGAATGAAAAGAAGGCATTAGTGAGGGCTTAACTCATGTCACTGCTGCACCAAAGTTTGTAGAATAGCCACAGGCAGCAGAAACAGCAATGTAGTATAGTTAGTGGGAGATGAACATGTGCAGAGTCATCCACATGCCCAATCGTAGAATCTCTTCCAATGGCCAACAAAGATGAGAGGTGAGGGAGAAGGTAAGGTGACAGATTTGATGTGAGGAGACATGAAAGATAATGCTGGGAAGGAGACAAGGAGGAATAGGCCAACTGGATCAAAAATCGAACCAAATTGGTCAGGGTAACTGGGAAATGATTACAGGAAGAGGAAGGATGCCAAGAAAGGCAGGAATGAGGACCCTGGAAGAAAGCTGTATGAGCAATAGAACAAGGGAGGGCACAGACAGAACAGAGTCTATCAGGATCAGGGTAGATATGAGATATAGAGAATAGGCAGACAAGAGAACTTACCTTATTGAGCCACAGAGGTCTTGGGAAGGAAAGTATGATCCAGATAAAGGATAAGGTAGGAGGAGTACTACAAGGTTCTGGTAACATTGAAGGTGAAATTATCTGACCTATGATGCCCACAGGCCAGGAGGAAGAGGAAATACGTCTTCAAAGAGAGGTAAAACAGGGAACACATAGACAGAGGGTTGAATTGAGGTAAACTGAGAGCATAAAGAACCACATCAATGTCCCAGTCCATGAGCAACTGACATCTGACTGTTCAATGAGCCATGTGAAAAACTAAAAGATACAGGCAACCATTAGGTGAGAAGCCTGGAAACTACGAGTCAATGCCCAGGAATGATAAATGCTCTACTTACATAGATAGATGGTCAAAGAAGAAGGGAGAATGGAACAGGCTAAATGTGAAGCTACTCTGCAAGAGAAACTGGAAGTCCTTGCCAATGACTTGACAAAAGGCAGGCATGAAGATGGATGGCAGGTGATTGGAATTGACAGTGTAGGTTGGGACAGAAGGGAAGAGGAAGGACCACCTGCAGTTGGAGCAACCAAGGAAACCAAGGTTGAGCAGGCCAGTAACGAGCAATCAGAAGGACTGCACATGGAGCGGCATGGATGAAAGAGACCCTCCAATGAAGTAAACGGATGGAAGGGTAAATTTAAAGGAACAGATTAGACCAATCTTGGTTGAAGGCACTGACAGACAAGGCTCAAAGATGGGAGACCAGTGACCAAAACTAACATAATTTGTGATTGAGAATGGTGGCAAAAGTATCAATATGGGGCATACCCAGATGGAGACAGAGCCACCAAAAAATGGCAGGATGCAGGGACCACTCTGTGGGATAAACTAGATCTGGTTGGGAAATAAGATTGGCTTCAAGACTGAAAACACCTGGTACATGACATGCCATCAAACGAATGTGAAGTTTGTGGGTCCAAAAAAGAAGATCCATAGTGCAAAAACCTAGGGATCTGGACCTGGTGCCACCTTGACTATTGTTAGAATGGACCATAACCATCTGGCAGCTGGCAAGAGAAAGAAATTGATCCAAAGCCCAACAAACACCCAGGAGTTTGAGAAGAGAAGTCTCATTCACAGACTAAGGACCCGAAACCTCCTGGTAATCAACCCAGGCATCCCAGCTCTGAAGGGATGCATCTGTGAACAGATGTAACTCTGACTGAGGAGGAGGAAGCAGGACCCCCACCAACATGTGGGCTCTGTTCAACCACAAATGGAGATCGTCTGCAAGGGATGAGAGAAGGGATATAGAAGTATCCAAGGGATCCCAGGTGAGATCCATTGATCATGAAGGATCCATTGAAGAAATTGCATCTTGGCCCTGCCCTGGGGTATGAAAGGGGTCATGGAGGACTACATCTCGAAAAACAATAGAATCTCGCGAGCTGTAAGTGATTGAAGATACAGGGCTTTCCAAATAGCCCATTCCATAAAATGGAGCCAGAGAGGAGAAGGTTGAGCCCAACTGAGATGGGTGTTGAAGGAAAGACTTCTCCAATATAACCAACTATCCCACCTGCACAGCTTTGGCCAGGAGCTGATGTGTGACAGGCCGATTCCCGATCAAAATACGCAAGAAGCCAGTCATTCATATAAACATAAAAGTGCAACCCCATGGCATGAATATGTCGAACAAAGAAATGGACCACATGACAAAACATGCATGATGTTGAGGCTAGGCCAGTAGATAAGGCAAAAAACTGCTACACAACCCCCTGCTGGACAAACCGAAGATTTGGATGGAAACACTCTGCCATAGGAATGTGTAGGTAAGCATTGGAAATGCCCACCTTGGTCCTGGAGAAAATGCCCACTAAAGAGAAAGGTACGTCTTCATGGTAAAGTGATGAGTGTGAACATACTGATTGAGACGAGATAAATCGATGACAGGACACTAATGTCCGGTCTTCTTGGGAACCACAAAACAGGTGGGAGTAAACTCCCTCTGAACCTGGTGAGCTGGTTCAAAAGCCTGTTGTGTGATGAGGTCCTGAACCACCTCTGACAGACGTTGGCATATCGAGAGGACCCAGAGGAGAAGGGAACATTGGATTATGGAGGAAGGGAGAGAAAGTGGCTAATGAATCCCTCCAAGAGCACCTTGTGAACCCAGACATCGACGAGAAAAGGTCCCCACAGACGAACGAAATTCAATAGACAAGTCTCCACTGGACCAAAACTATGACCACATAGTCACTGGTACTGCTGTTGGTGGATAGTGCATCATCGAGTAAGTTGACGAACCATAGTGCTGTGGGAGGGTGGGACAGGAAGAGGTTGAGAAAAGGAAAGGTGGAGGACAGGAATCAGTGCCGTGCTCAGCCCCAAATAGGACAAACGAGTTACCAAGTTAGTAATGGTGGAATGTCGATGGGCCAAGAAACCGAGTCAAACACATAATGCTGCAAAAATGGCACCATGCAGAAGTCCCTCAGATAAGGAGCCTGGAGATGGGTCCATGCCAAAACTGTGTAACAGCACAAGAGGTCCCAACAACAAACAAACCACGTTTGAAGCACAAGAGCCAAAGACAAGCCAACATAGAAGTAAGGATGAAGAAGATTTCAGCAGAAAACCCCCTCAGGGTTCCCATGAAGTCTCTGACAGAAGGTGAAGGGAAGAAAGGTACATGAACAAGGTTGTTAGGGTGAGATGGTGAGAAAATTGTGCTTGGGTAAGTTGGACAGGGTAAACTGAGTTTGCCACCCAAACAGGTAGATCCGACCCCAACAAATGTTGGTCAAGAAATGGAAATTCCACCCGATGATAAGCAAGGGAAAACTGATCCGAGGGAAGAAAGGTACATGAACAAGGTTGTTAGGGTGAGATGGTGAGAAAATTGTGAAAATTATGATGATTTGCATAACAGACGTATTGGAACTTTGGATTCCAACAGAAGGGAAGAAAGGTACACGAACAAGGTTGTTAGGGTGAAATGGTGAGAAAATTGTGCTTGGATAAGTTGGACAGGGTAAACTGAGTTTGCCACCCAAACAGGTAGATCCGACCCCAACAAATGTTGGTCGAGAAATGGAAAGTCCGCCCGATGATAAGCAAGGGAAAACTGATCCGAAGTCCGTGGGGGACAAGGCATACTAACGTCTTCCCCCACTTGTGAGGCAAATTGGTCCACGTGAACCCTAATATCAGGTGGACAGGTAATTTCATGTATAAGAGATAAAACATCACATACCTGAGAGATAAGGTCTAAAAAGCCCAATGATGGATGAGCTGAATCATCAGGTTGTGAACAGGAAAGCGCAGCAAGCTAAAGGTGGTAAATAAACGATCAAAATTGTCTACAGCTTGGTCTGGCCCGAAAGGCTCAGGAGGAAGTGAGGCAGAAGTAGGCGAGAAAGGTTGGCTCATATACCACTCAATCTCCCAGCGAATGAGTGACATGTCACCTGCGCCTATGGCTGAAAATACAGCATCAGACAGTGGTGAAATACCCAAAGTGGTGACTAACTTCCAAATTCACAAGCGGGAAATACAAGGAAGTAATGCTTTATTAAAATATTAACTCCACAACTGTGAAGTGTTGGAAATAAAATTAAGAAAAAATAAACCACTTCAAGGTAATTGACAGCTGCCAAACAAGAAGTGATAGATCGGTAATGGAGTGTACGAGGAGTCACATACGTCACGTGATATTGGTGAAGAGGTGATGCATGATGATTTGCATAACAGACGTATTGGAACTTTGGATTCCAACAGAGGGAGGATGAAGGCCTGTGGTATGCATTTCTGAGAAAGTTTGCTTATAGAGGGTAGCACAAAACGAGAAAAGCTAATCTTGTGAGCAGAGTGATAGTACCTTATCGGAAATTTAAGGTCAGGATATTATACATAAATAGTGTTGTTAAAAAGGAAGAATTATGAAAAATAAAATCAAAAAGGGAGCAAGATTTTAAAAACGTTTCTTTTAAATTGGGAGTGCTATTTCAAATTGTATTACAGTTATGAATAAATTATGTTTTAAGAGCAATATTTATATTGCTAAAATAAGGTTAACAATTAAAAATATACAAATTGATTATAAATACACACATCTATATACCAAGGTGTATATTTAACTGAAGTAACACTTGTCTTGTACAACAAAAATAATATACATGAGTGGACCCCATATTATTCACTGTCCCAGGGTCCCTACAGTGTCTTAATCTGTCACTGGTCATACCCACAGGACAAGTTATGATTTCAGCTTACAAGGCCAATACTCCAGAAACATTTAAACTGTTAGTTTGGTATTCATAATTTCACTGGTATGGTTAATAAATTATATATTAATTACAACGAATTTGAAAACATAAGTACAATATTAGATGTACATTAGCAATTACCACTAACTGTAATTATATTCATTATAACTAAATGGAAAGTTAAAAAACAAATGGTATTAATTACATGTAAAACTTTTGAATATTTTAATACCAATCTTGCTTTACAACTACATCCTTGGATTCAGTATTTCTACGTTAAACACAACATTGCAAAATGTAACCTCTATTTTGTGTTACTCATGTTTAAAAATGAGTAAGGTATCAGTCACAATTCGTAGAAAATTATACACTTTTATTATATGTTTTTCACAAGTTAATTTATCCATGCTTTTTCTCAGCCTGGTAAGTTGTACAAAATTAAATAACTAAGTGATAGAGTTATTATACTGTACAAACCCTTACAAAAGGACAACATTTTTCTCTTAAGTGTTTTTCTTGTATTATTTATATTTCCAATTATAGTTTGATATACTTAAAAAAATTTGGTTCAAGTTAGTATTGATTTAATGTTATATAAAAACACTTAACATTTGAAAATACTACTAAGGATTTTAAACTTTCAGTATAGTTCCACATTTAGTCTCTACAGGATCCCAAAAGTAATCAAATGATTGGACACAAAGTAAATATTTCCAAAATTTGACAACACAAACACCTGACATTAGATGTGTATATAGGTACATAAAACTAAACTTAATGAAAATGTACATTTTATACACTAATTAGATTTCTATAAACTGATCAAATACCTATTATATGAAAAAAAAACTTAAGGAAATAGGTATAATTTTCTCTTGATTTGAACTTCTGTTAGTTAAAAAAAACTGGTAAGTTTCTTTTATATACATCTACAATAATCTATAAAAAAAATTATTGTGTGTTATATTTATTCAAAAACCATAAGTAATGCTTTCAATTTAGTAATGTACAAGCACTTAAGTATATTTAAGCTGCCAACTTGACAAAACCAGAAATCTAAATCTACATACCATGATGAATCTTAAAGGATTCCCATTCTTCCATAATAACATCTTTGTAGCTGATTGATCCTACAGCAACAACAGCTAGCAAGGTACATAGCAAAGCCTTTAACATTGTTTAACTGCAAACACAAAAAAGAAAAGTTACATTTTTCATCACACATGGTAGTTAACTATTAACAGCTAACAACAAAATAGACAATATACATAAAAATTCTTAAGTGCATTTATTAAAAACTTGCAAAAATATCATAACTCCAACCTGTATCAAACACTTCAAACTGCAATTTTAATATCATATTCTAATTCCATCACATACAACAACTATTGTTAAAATGGATAGTTAAATATGTGCATCTTGTTCAATTAACTGAAACACAATGTAACATTGTCTGGCTAATTTTGAAAAATGACTACAAAAATTGATTTGTTACTTACAAACATTAAAACACACAAACTTTACTTTTTTTTCAACTTAAATACAGGCAGGTTCAAAACAGAACATTTCCAAATATCAACCTGTAGTTACCTACATTTCACTATTTTGATTATTTGTGTGTAGAAATTGTATAACAAATTCTTGTTTCATATCTTTGTACTAGAGAAAATAATATAAATAAAAACCTTTGTGAACTAATATCTAATTCTTTGTGCTTGGGAGCTATCTAAATGATAAATGTTGCTTTGCTGGGAAAAACATATATACATTTGCCTAAGAAACTACAAGACGTTGAATTGTTGCACGTTCTTTAATTTTGACTAATCCTAATAGACAATTTGTAATTCAGTAGTGTTTAACCTATTTCAGTAATAAAGGTTTAACCTTTCTGTTAGGCCTAGACAATGGTTCCAAGTAACAAATCTGTTTGGACTCCTTTGCTCTTAACTCTTGGAAAAAACCCATTCTCAATTAATAGTGAAAGATATGCTTCACAGATATTACCTAACTATAACTGTAATCTAAAATTTTGCTCTGTGCTCTTTTACATATATACTTATTAGAACATGCCACAGGAAACACAATAGCTTACAAAAAACACCAAAGCTCCAGCTCTGTAGTGTGCTGAATACATGTGGTTATTAGTTACTAAAAAGAAAAAAAATGTGCTAATAAAAACAGCCAAACCTTAAGCTAACCTGCTAAGTTTTTTAAATTATCTTGTTGGTAGAGCAGAATCCCAAAGAAATGAGGTGGTTTTAATCAGCTTTTTTTTTTTTACTGTTTTTTTTTTTCAGTAACATTGAAACTTCAAATTTCGATGCTTTTCTGATGTCACAGAGCTTCTTAGTCTCCTCAGAATCAAAATTTAAGAACAAGTTATTTTTAATAAGTTAGGTTCTATGTTACTACAATTACATGATTACCTGATGTTTCCTATGTAATAATTCACAATATTCATTTTAGGTTTGACAGTTTTAGGAATTATAAATTTAGTTAAGAGTTTATGAAAGTATTACTTTAAAACCAAAAATCCCTTTTAATCTTGAGTCTAAAGCACCATTGCTTTAGTCACATTATAATTAAGTTAAAATCATAGTGTTTCCCTATCATGTACACTGCTCAAATCTAGTAGTACAATGAATAGAAAAACCTGTTATTATTAATAATACCCGATCAAAACAATCTACCTGCACATAATTAAAAGTTAATTTAGTAATTATTGTAGTTTATTTAATATACTGGTCTAATAACAGTATGTAATGTCATAAAAGAAACTTCTAACTGTTAGTAATAGTAGTACGTCTTTCATTAGCCAATTTATACGCTTAAATATTTTCCACGTGATAGATTGATTTGAAAACGTCCCTGAAAAAATTACATTTCACTCATAAAATAATGCAAATATAGTCACCAAATCGTTTTGCTTTTAATATAATCAATAAATTAATTGTCAAAAGACTACTCGGCTTTTAATTTTGTTTTAATATAATTATGACAGCCCAACCAAATGACTTCCTACATAGACTAAACTAAAGTAAATGTTTGTTCTGTGCACGAGAGCTTTCAGTTAGATGTGGTGGATGCTTTTAATATAATGGGGTTTAAGGGAAGGCTTCATAAATATCTGAATGATATGGGCTGGCTTTGAGTGTTTCATCTTTACTGACTTTAGTTCAGTGGATGGGTCAGACTAAATCTCATGTCGTCCTTAAGGTTAAGTTAAATTATATTTAGAACTAATAAAAATTAAAAGAAAATCTAAAATTTTCTGTAAACTTATTAAATTATTACTCTGAAAAATTTTCAGCAAGATCAATAATAAGTAAAATAAAAATGATTAATCTACAAACCTTCTTTGAGTATTTGGTTTCTTTGTAAAAAACAACAACTTGCCCCCAATTCTAAGAACGTGTTTATATTATAATTACTGAGTTGTTTACCTTCCCGATTACTAATACACCACTTTTACAAGTACATAAACAAATACACGGATCTTCGTAAGTATACCGAACGCTACCTATAATATGATCAGCTGTTCCCAGAATTCATTAGTACACACGATCACGTGCTGCGTTATTTTGCCAGCAGTGATTAGCAAATACATATTCGGGTTTTTATAAAATTTTTAGCGATTCATATTATTCAGTTCACTCGTATATTAAAATGCTATGCAATTCTAAGATCTTACGAGAGAAAGTAAAGAAGAAGAACGTATAACAATATGTCAACCACACCATTATTATCTGCTAGGTTTATTCCCTTTAAGTCTATTCCAATGTTATAATATACTAAAATAAATGCTTTATATTTTTTCAATAAACTTTGTATGCCACTTTATCGTAAATGAAAAAAAAATAAAGTAGTATTATAATTTTTTGAGAAAAAGCTAGGTTTTTTATGTGATATATTTGTAGTGTATATGTGCATGTGCATAAAAATTTCGATGTGAGAATGTTTTAAAAGTTTATTGCATTGTATTGTACACAGTATAAATACAAAAAATGTTTTATTTCTAAAACTGCGCCAAAGTGATTTTTATGCCTAAACCATATTCTGTATTTGACAACCTGGTGATTGTATTTTTTAGGTTTATTCCCATTTCGTCTGCTCCCATTTAATCTGTTGCCAATCGGAGTAGACGAACTGGGATGTTACGATCTGCTATATACAATTCCTTGGACCATAATTTAATCATACTAAATTATGTTTCCTGAATCAATTATCTATATTGACATATTTGTGTATAAAATTACATGTTTTCATACCTACAGAAGTGTTTTATGGCATTATTTATCACTAATCTTCAAAACTCAAAGGAAGCTGAAAATGACTACCTTTATGTTTCTGGTTTTAGTTTTACCTATAGTGGTTTATGTAAGACTCCTTTATTTTGGGAATGCTTAATACAATGCATTCGTTATTTTTGTTATTCTTTCATCCAAAATTCTAGAATCGTGAACAGCACATTCGTTGAAAATAAACTACTATTAATCAAACTATCTATTCTAAAGAGAGGGGGGCCGAGGGGGCAACTACCTTGGGGCCCGTGCATGCCCACGGACCCATAAAAAATGCCCAACTTTAAACTCGACTTTTTAAAAATTTGCATGCTCTTAAGCTAAGAATCCATAGACCAGAAAAACTGATGCGAAATTAGTCTACAAGCCAAGCTAAGTTCGAAATGGAAAATAGTGTTACGCCTCCAGTCGTTAATTGATTTTCCGTAACTTCGTTCCGACGAAACTTTAGC